TGTAGTTCTTTTCGATGCCGAGGTGTAGTCCCCACTGTGCGCGTTGTGAAAATCTTCCCGCTCGTGCTTCTGGGGGTCGGTACTGTACCATGCACCCGAAAACTCGTAACATTTTTGTGCTGCCATGTTTCCCTGTCCACAACAGATGCGGTGATGCGTTGTTCGGAAGTGAAGACGACGACATCAAGTTGTGTAGCATGACAGCGTTGTCCATTGCTGCACGCCACTGGTGGTTGGGTAGCCGCATGTCACGTAACAGTTTGCGCATGCTGTTCTGCAGAGTCATGTTCATTCTTTCTGCCACACCTTGCTGCTGATGGGCGTAGGGAAGAGAGAGGAGCTGCTTGATTCCCCTTTCCACCAGGTAGTGCTTGAATCGCTGAGAGGTGTATTCTCCCCGTCCGTCTGACTGGAAGCTTTTCAGTTGTGCGCCCGACTCTCTCTCTGCTACTGGTAGCCAGGCTGCGAGTGCCATGTCGCGGCTGGGTAGGTTTAGGTGCCAGACATAGCGGGTGGCGGCGTCGGTGAAGGTGATCGTGTAGTTGTATGTAACTTGTCCTGGTTCCTGATTGAACAGGATATCGTTGTACACCTTCTCGAGTGGTGCGTACGCGGGTGCGCTCGGGTTGTGATGAGGAATGAACGGCCGGTGTGGTAAGTCGGCTTCGAGGCAGGTAAGGCAAGTTCCTCGTGCCCGTTGAAGTTCTCTGCCGTCGGGTAGTAGTAATGAGTCATTGTGAAGGACTCCTGCTCTTATTGTGTTGTTTAACACAGTGTTGCTTGGGTGTCCCATGCGTGCGTGCCAGATATCTTCGGAGGCGCGGTGTCCGAGTGAGCGTCGATACGCGTCGGAGTTGGAGTAGAAGCTGGCGATGAAGTTTGCGCTTCTGTGGACTTCCCATTGAGTCAGATTCAGCTGCTGTGCGGGTGTTGGTGGTGCTTCGTCAACGAGGACTGGTGTCGTTGTTCCTGCTGCTGCTGACGATGTCTCTGCTGCTGCCGATGATGTTTTTGCAGCTGCCGATGTTGTCTCTGCTGCTGCCGATGTTGTCTCTGCTGCTGCGGATGATGTTTCTGCTGCTGCCGATGTTGTCTCTGCTACTGCTGATGTTGTCTCTACTGCTGCCGAATGTTGTATTGTTACTAACGCACATGTTCGTTCTGCTTCAAGAATGGTATGTGAATACCAGAAGCCTTCCGGACTGAAGTCGGGGTCGAGATCCGGCGGGTGCGTCCAAGATGTGAAGGTGACGATCCCGTCACTGTCTGCGGTGCCCAGGTCTGGAACGAAGTCGAGGACGAAGACATTGTTCTTCAGGATCGTCTTTCCGATGTAGAGGCCGCCCTTCCCGTGGTACAGCTTGAACTCCTGGGTGGTATTGTCGGCTTCCATATGTATGCCTTTCGCCATCAACTGACTGAGGCTCAGTAGGTTGTAGCCGAGTCATTCTGCTATCAGGACTTTTGACATTTGTAGTACGACATTCGTCTCCCGTGACTGAAGTTGCACTACCCCTTGTCGTCGTGTGCGCAGGTTCTGATTATTGGCAACAGTGATGACGACTTCTCGTTGAAGTTGGTGCTCGCGTTGAACGAAACGTCCTGAAGAGCACATGTGTTGTCCGCAGCAACTGTCCAAGAACCATGTATCCTTCCCAGAAGGCTCGCTTTGGGCGATGGCGGCGTACGTCGGGTTTGGTTGGAGTGACTCGCGGCGAGGCGTACTGTTGTCGAGTTGTTCTTCTGGTGAGTAATATGGTGGTGACTCAGTTATGCAGGAGTCACTCAGCCTTGCCATGCAGCTGACGATGTTTCTTTTTTCTTTTGCAGGTTGTCCCGTTGATGTTGTTGAGACGTGGACTGAGGTTGTCGGGTTTGCTTGCGTTGAATCGACTTGACTGCTTGAAGGACGAAGTTGGCGTTGTCGATTTGGGCAGTGCGTATGAGGATGCCCTGGAGTCTTGCAGATGTGGTAGAATGGAGGTACTGGCTTCAGTTGTTGCTGCCGATTGTTATTGTTGTTGTAGCGTCGCTGGGTGTGGAACGCGAACTCTGGTGCTGACGTCTTCTTTTTATGTCATTCTTCTTGCATGGATTTCGGCGCAGAGCGTTGCTTCGGGGATTCTCCTGTGAGCTCGGAGGATGGCCTTTGTGGTGCGCCATTGAGGACCGAGGCCACCGATGATGACTGTCACGAAGGCGTCTTCAGAGATCGACCCTCCGCATCGAAGAAGCTTGTCGCGCAATTCGCGACATCGACTGATATACGCCAGTCCTTTCTCCCCTGGTTTCATTTCAACTGTTTTCAGTTGCGCCATTAACTGACTTTAACTTACATTGTCTGTTGCTTGATACAGGCTCTTCAGGTGGTTGTACGCGAGCTTCGCGGAGTTACCGTAACCTCGGTAGGTCCTTATGTTCTGCTGTTGAGTCGGGGTGATATTTCTCAGTAGGATCGTGTACGCCATCATTGACTGATAGGTGTACTGCTGATTCTCGTACTGTGTATCGTTTGTTGGATATGGCAGGGTCCCGTTGAAGAATTCGAGTATCTGCGCGCCTTCCATCAACAGTTCAAACTCGAACGACCACGTGAAGAAATCCTTTCCATCGAAAGGTCTTGACGTCTGCATCTTTAGAACATGTGCGAACTGTGACTGAACTTGCAGTGCGTCCAGTTGTTTTTCTTGTCCAGGTGAGGGATGTGGTTGTGGCATGAAGGTGATGGATCCGCGCTCGTACGGAGCAAAGGTAGGCTGTTGTTGCTGGTTTCCCCGTGCATATGATGAGCCGTCGAGACTCATCGGTGTTGCTCCGTTGTTGTTGCTGTTGTGTGATTGCGCAGGTCCTCCTTGCTGATGCTGCTCATAGAAGGACATGAAGGAGAAGAATTTCTCCATCATGCTTGGATCGAAGCCCACGCCTTGGTTTGCGGGTGTTTCAGTAGACCCAGCTGCCGGTCTCGTTGTTGTCCCTTCCTCTGTCTGTAGGCCAGAGGCAGGAGGTGGAGTAGGAGTAGTACCAGGAGAGCCGTTGGAGGAGCTCCTCTCCTTTCTAGTAGACATATCTCTCGGTGTATTGAGTATTGAGGAGAAATAATTTAACTCTAACTTGCTCTAATACCATGTTGGGCTGAAAGCCCCTTTAGGATCTTTGGTAGAGTTAAAGTCTGAGTAAAGTGATGCAGTTGCGGAAGCGTTTTGAGTGAAGTCCTTGAACCACCTTGCGCTAGTATGTGAGGGCAAAGTAAGTTGATTAAAGCAAAGAGATACAAGAATATATATATATGAGTACAGAGAATATGAAAAGACATAATTATAACTACTTTACTGCTGCGGTTCGATACAGTGCGACTCGGGCAACTGCTCAATGTCGAGTCAGTTGTGTGTCTTCCTGTCGCGCTGCTTTTGTCATGTCAAAGGTCGCTGACCTTTGACTTTCGCGTAACCTCCAGCGGTTACATCAACCTCCGAGGGTTGACTCACTGGTGCCTCGATATGCGCTGCTTCGCTCGTGTCTTGGTTTTTCGACACGACAGAGGCGCTTAGGATTATTTGTTCCCAACAGAATCAACTTTTTGGCCTCCATAGAGTTATCTGTTCTTTCGTGAATCTGTTCTCATACGGTGTTGACTGGTATGCTTGTGTGGAGTATTTGTTGGGGAAGACGCTGGGAAGTACTGTAGGTGAATGGAGAATTTCACAGAAAGTAACAGGACCAAACTCCTAAATATAACGCCGACACAAACTGTCGGTTATAGCACTTCAAAACAAAGTACATTCTGAAATCACTCATTGTAACGCATCCTCCCAAAGCGAGTACGCCCAAGGGTCTCGCAAAAGCTGACCTTCATGTTCAGGAAAAGGCAGGCAGGCAGACTGCTCCAGTTGGCTGCTGCCAGTGCCAGCGTATGGTCCGCTGACCTCAGCAGCACTTGCCTTGTCCCTCCCTCCCTCTCGCTACCAAACCGCCAACGCACCACAGACCGTGTACAATCCTCCCCGTAAAAATACCGCAAGATTGGTTCCGTTTTCAGTCTTGCTCGAGCCCCAGCATTCGATCGCAGTTGCTTGCTAGGTCAACAATGTCTTCCCCTTCTGTGAATCTGATTGGATGTCCAAGCTTGGAGGAAGGGAGCTGCAGCCAATGGCTTCGTCTTGGTCCTAGTTTCTACTACTACAGTACTACACGAACTGTCAACTGTCGAAACGTTCTTGTTTCAAATGGACAGTTGTTATGGTCACGGCTGGCAGGTCATCACGTGCCTTGTGTCACATGACGGTGGCTCCTTCTCAAAAATCGTCGTCTGATGATGTTACGTGACACACCCAGTTCCATACAGATGACAGTCTACTAATACTGTACACCGTACGGTTGACTCGGTTTCTCTCCTCGTAGTGGAGGGCGTTTAATGCGGGAGTGCCGGCCTGGCAGAGGCTACAACCACAAGCCACCAGCAATGATTCCTTTCATTCCGCTCCCCTCGTTGTCAGTGCCACTTGGCCCACTTGCGTCCTCCTCGCTCGCACCTCTTCCACTGCTGCCCCCCGTCGCACACCTTCGGATGCCGCGCGACTCGAAAGCCTCGCTGCTTGCGCCTGGAAGTGCAATGAGGGGCATCTCTCTGCTGCGGCGGTCAAGACTCGGCTCTGTTGGTAAGCGGCAGAATCAAAGGCGGCCAAGTGCAACCCCAGCTGACAATCAGGCCTCGTGCATGCGGTTGCTGCTCGACCGTACTGAACCGCAAAGATCTTTCTGTCCGTGGGGCCAGGTTTTGAACCAAGATGGACATATGCAAGATTATTGGGCTCACCTTCCTTTCAAGAGACGGTTAAAAAAATTCAAGTTAATTTCTTGCTATATTATCCTGGACTCTCGTGCCAGCTGAACCATTTTGAACACGTGGTAGTACCGCTTTCAAGAACCGCTTGGTCGCCATGCCGCATTCATCTGAAAACATTGACTCACCGCCGGTTTCGCAACCCTCGTCGCCGCTTGGAATGCAGCCATGGTCGCGAGAGGTGGGTCGCGAAAAGAGCGTTCAGAGAATCTCTCAAGCCCTCCGTTTTTCTTGTCGATGACAGAGCGATTAGAATACCAGTGCGTAGGACACGCTCTGTGTGCCTTGAACCGCGGTCTTTACTCTCACAGCTCATGATGGCAACGCTGTCATTCCCTCCCTCACTCTCACGGCAGGAGGACACGGTGCTGCTGCGCCACGCGCTGCAGTGCGGCACGAAGCAGTGGGGCGAGCTGGGGAGGAGCGGTCAGCTCAAGAGGAGCAACAAGTCGTGCTGTAACCGTTACATCTTCCTCCGAAGGTAACCCCGCATGCCGCGTGCATAAATTCTTGAACTCGGGTTTCTTGATACGCGTGAGCGTTTCGAACACACCTCAGCCTTGTCTAACGCTTCTGCTCTGTGGCCGCGTGTTGATGGCAGGAAGTTCACTCAGCAATTTCGCGAGAGCTTCCTGAGAAATCACCTGGGAGGCGCCGCGTTCCTCCAGGACGTTTCACTGGACGGAAACAGTCTGCCGTTGTTCTGTCAGGATATCCAGCAGCAGCAGCAGCAGCAGCAGCAGCAGCAGGAGGGCGCGGGTTCAGCTGCCCTTGCGTTTGGAGGGCTGTCGTATGAGGAGTGCACGGCCGTCTTCTTTGCCCCCAACGCACGCTGCTGCCGCCAACCAGCCTCACTCAACCTCTCTTCTGTGACCAGCTCTCCTCCTCATTCCCAAGCCGCCAGCGTCTGTGCTACTGCGGCTGCTTCTATTGCCAAGTTTCCAGTATCCCATGAAGCTTCCCCCGTTGCTGCTGCCTCCAATTCTGCCGCTCGGCGTCGTGCGCTGAAGCGTCCAAGGGACGACTCGCCCACGCTGGGGGCACAGCCAGCGCTGCTCGGTGGACGCGAGAGCTGGTTCGTGCCAAGGGGATTCGTGCGAGGCGGAGTTTTGCGAGGCGGGGTGGTGTGTGGCACGGAGCACGGGCATCAGTCAGTGGCAGAGCAGTTCCAGCAGCAGGGGGCGAGCAGCCTCATGCAGCAGGCAGCTGACGAAGCCCTGCTGGAGGCGCTGCTGCAGGAGGAGCATCGGCAGCAGCAGCAGGGAGGAGCGAGGAGCAGGGCGCAGCGGGTGTTGTGGCCGCGCGTTGGGTCGGAGAGTGCCCTTCCAGACGATGTGCTGCTGGGGTGCAACAGTGACGAACCTGCCTTCATCCAGCGCTCTGCTCTGTCTGCTCCTCCACCGACCCTGCCACTCGCAGCGCTGCCAGCGCCAATGCGGCCCCAGCTCGCTGCTCTGCCTGCCTCCGCTCCCTGCATTGGCGATTTCGCAGTGCAGCCAGTGGAGTGGCTCCGCGTTGGGTCAGAGAGCGCCCTTCCAGACGACGTGCTGCTGGGACTCTGCTGCGAGGACCCTGCCTCCTCGCAACGTGCTGCTCTCTCTGCTCCTGCGCCCGCCCAGCCGCTCGCAGCACTGATGCCCTCGCCGCTCACTGGTCTGCCTGGCCCCGCTTCTGGCAGCGCGACCGGGTGCCTTACAGCAATGCTTGTTGGGAGTGCGTGTGGCACACAGGAGCAAGAATACCTGGATGCTTGCATTGACGTGCACGGCAACATAACCAACACTAACAACACTGACAACTGTGGCAAGCACAGTGGCAAGGACAACGGTGCGCTCTTTCTAGACACGCCCATGGCTCACGTGCTGCTGGCTGGGAGTCTCCTCGCCATGCCCTTGGCCAGTGGACCTCACGCTGAGGGGCCTGCTGCCCCACATGCTGCTGGAACAGCCCTGCCAGAGTGGGCGGTGGAGCAGGGAGGGACCGGGGAAGGAGGTGCTGAGGGGCACAGGCAGCAGCAATTTCTCGGCCAGGAGGGCATGCTTGCACAGGGGAAGCCTTGTCAGTACCTCAAGCTTGACCGCATGCTCTCCCTGCCACCGCACCAGCCACAGCTGCATTCACAGCCACCACCACATCTACTCCCAAAGCCACTCTTAAAGTTACCGACACAAGCGCCTTGGCTGTCTGCCGCGTCACAGTCACCTCCCTAGATCGTCGTTCCCGAGGCCCCGCGGATTCGCAGTGTCCAACCGCGTGCCACCGTAATTCACTCAGTGCTGATGCTGAGCTGGTAGGGATAGTCACCTGCCTGAATCACAAACCTTGGAGCATGACCGCTACTCATGTCCCGCACCGGCGCCTCCAATGGTTTGTAGACGCCCTCAACTCAACCCCAAGGGGCTCGCACATGCAAGCTCCCATACTTCCACGCCCTGTCATGCTGCTGCAGCCCTTCTCCTCTGGAGCTCTACCATCTCTCTGGTGAATGAGATACTAAAGAGAATGTTCCATAGGGTAAGGAGGGGGGGTACCAGGGTCCTCGACATCAGACATTTTTGTCTGTTTGTCTTAGTTTCCATACGATTTTTTCCTAGTTAATCTGATTTTCAAGGAATGATTTATTTTTTCATCTGATTGAGTAGAAATGATTTTTTGTCTTCATCTGATTCATCAGAAAATTATAAATTTTGAAAGTGTTTTCACTTTCTAAAAATTTGTATTGTGATAGTGAAGCGATTGCCAACGCAGCAAAGGCAGCGTCGCATCGCTACTCGCCCTCTTTTGGCTACAAAAGAGGGGTTGGAGGCCATTTGGCCTCACCCACGTTCTTTTCAGATTTTAGTTTGAGTTCCGCTCAATCTCGTCCAATCTGGCGAAGACTCAGTCACTTCCACGTTGCCTTCAAGGGCACCTTCTTTCGCTGTGGCCAGCCCGGGCACATGGCAAACGCCTGCCCCATGGGGGGGCGCGGCGGACAAGGCCCCACACCCGTGGTGTGAGGAGTAACCAAGGGCGATGCCCCTTTCCCCGCTCGCCGAAAGAGCGTAGGGGACTGTGAAAACAAAGAACGAGAATGAATGACTATGAAGTGAAGTGAATACAAATAGGAAACCCTAATGTGTTGTACCCCCTATGGGATACCCCACTATAGCCTACACAAACAAGTAAGCTATATGTTCTGACACACCCCCATAAGCAAAGTGGGGGAGAACAAGGGGTCACAAGACCAGTCAAGCAAAGCAAAGCAAAGCTCAGGGTGGATCACAAAGTCACCACGCATTCCGAGCACAAGTTCAAAGGCCACAAGACCAGTTCACATGCAAGATCATATATAGAGATATACAAGAGCAAGAGTATATATATGCGAAGTTACAAGCAAGGTCAAGAGGAGAGCAAGTGAGGCAAGACAGGCACAAGACCCAACTGCGTGCAGCAACGCTGATGATCACAAGGCGCAAGTGCCTTGGTGAAGACATCAGCAGTGTTGGCCTCAGAAGCCACGTACGCAAGTCGCAGCTGTCCACGCTGCTGTAGCTCACGAGCAAGAAAGTAGCGAAGAGCAATGTGCTTCGTTCTGTGCTCCAGTCGCTGCTCTCGACACAAGGCCAGCATGGCCTTGTTGTCTACGTACAGGACTGGAGGAGAACGAGGCTGCTCTCCAAGGTCGGTCAGCAGGTAGGTGAGCCAGCGTAACTCCTGTGCAGCCATAGCCCCAGCGTAGATCTCAGCCTCACAACTGGAGCCGAGAACAGAAGACGAGCGGGTAGCCCGCCACGAGACAGAGCCGGAACCAAGGCTGAAGGTGTAACCCTGTGACGACCGCTGCGTAGCCTGGTCGTCAGCCCAAGAAGCGTCTGCGTGCCCAGTGAGGACCACTGGACTGCGCCCTCCAAGCACTAGCCCCATGCCCGACGTACTGCACAAGTAGCGCAACACCCTCTTCGCTGCAGCCATGTGCTCTGGTCGGTGTCTCCCAGGAGCAACAAAGCGTGCAAGAATGCTAAGAGGGTATGCGAGGTCAGGTCGTGTGCAGGTCATCAGGTACATGAGGCAGCCAACAAGCTCTGCAAACGGGCCACTCGACTCTACGGACTCATCCGAAGGCAGAGCTGAGAGCGAGTGGCGAGTAGGCAGAGGAGTGGCCTGAGGCGAGGAGTACGTGAAGCCGAAGCGCTGAAGGACCTGCTGCACCATGTGTGACTGAGTCAGGGTAATGGTGCGGCGTGCTCTGTCCCGGGTGATCTGCAAGCCAAGGTAGCTGCGCAGTTCACCCAGGTCAGTGCACGTGTGTCTCTTCTGCAGCTCGGACTTCACGTAGGCGAGTCCAGCAGTGTCAGCTGTGGCAAAGACCAAGTCGTCGACGTACACGAGGATGTAGAACGGCGGCAGAGAGGTGTCGGTGCGCAGAAACAGCGACGGGTCGGCAGTGGAAGGAGCAAACCCAAGTGCCGCGAGCGTAGTCCTCAGTGTGTCGTGCCACTCACGTGGCGCCTGACGGAGACCGTAGACTGGACGCCGGAGACTCCACTAGGTACCAGGAGGGAAAGACCCAGTGAAGCCAGGTGGGCGACGCAGCCAGATCTCCTCGTGCAGGCTGCCCTGTAAGAAAGCTGTGCTGAAGTCGAGAGAGTGGAGCTCGTGGTCACAGTGAGCAGCAACGTGCAGCAGAACCCGAAGAGTGGTCATCTTCGGGGTGGGGGAGAAGGTCTGAAAGTAGTCAACCCCCTGCCGCTGACTGAAGCCACGAGCCACGTAACGCGCCTTGAAGACAGGCGGAGAACCCGGCGGCCGCTTCACCCTGAAAATCCACATGCCACTGACGATGTTCGCCCCAGGAGGGGGAACAGCGTCAACGTAGGTGCCTGTGGACTTCCAGGAAGCCATCTCTGCATCCATAGCTGCCTGCCACTGAGAGGAGTAGGGACCCTCTATCGCCTCCGCGTAAGAGCGCGGAGTCGGGATGTCTGGTGCATCCGGGTCTCCCTCAGGGGCTAGCAGTACAGACGCGAGACGAGGTGAAGCGGCGGCCAGACACTGGAACTCCTCCTGCCTGTCCTCAAGGACGTCCGTGCCAAGGGCACACTCACCCCCGATGGACGGAGGACAGGTGGACTCAGACTCAGTGACAAGACGAGCAGCGTAGTCTAGACGACAGCGCGCAGCAAAGTCGACAAGCTCAGTGACAAGGGCAGACGCAGCAGACGACTCGAAGGAGGGGTCAGTGACAGCAGTAGCCAGGAGACGCGTGACAGTAGGACTGGCAGCACGAAGAGAGTCCGACTCCGGGTCGGCAAGAGCAGGAAGAGAGGAAGCAGGAGGAGAAGGCAAAGGGGCACGCAGAGGAGCAGTGGACGGACGCAGTGACATCCGGTGTGTGCCAGGGACAGGAGGAGGATGCTGACGCGACCCGCGACCACTAGCGCGCTCAGTACGAACAGGCGACACAGGACGAGACGCAGGCTCACGACGCTCAGTAAGACCTCCAGTCGGACCAGCGTAGGGAGAAGGAGCAGGCAAAGGGGAGGCAGGCTGTAGCTGTGGCTGTGACCGGACAGGCTGCGGACCCTCTAAGGGAGGAGGAGGAGGTGTAAGACCAAGAACCTGCTGCAGGAGCGGAACGAAGTACGGTCGGGGCCGCGCGGCGACGCTAGAGACAGCAGGAACAGCACCAGCAGCCCCGGCAGGTGCACCCACTCCAGCAGCACCTCCAGCAGCACCACCAGAAGCTCCAGAACCTCCAGCCGCAGCACCAGGAGCACTGTCAGTCGGACCGCCAACGGCAGGCTCAGCGCCAACACCCTCAGCAGGACCAGCTCCAGGAGAACTCTCAGACTCAGCAGCTCCAGCATCCACAGTACGAGCACTGGCGGGGCGCGCAGCAGCAGTACCCTCTGCAGCCGAAGAACCACCAGCACCAGCAGCACGCCTCCAGCGCCTGGCAAACCACTCACGCAGCTCTTGTGGGGAGAGTGGCTCCAGGGGAGACGAAGCACCCCAAGGCATAGCACCTCCAGGCTCAGCACCCCTAGACACAGCACCCCCAGGCACAGCACCCCCAGGCTCAGCACCCCCAAGCTCAGCACCCCCAGGCTCAGCACCCCCAGGCACAGCTCCCGCAGCAGCACCAGAGTCACCAGTGACCTCGACAGGCTCGACCGCGTCTACCTGGGACACACCTGAAGGGGCAGGACCCTGAGGGGGGAGGGGGACTACCGGGGGGGGACCTGGTACCAAGAAGAGCGGGGGCGGGGGGAGGGACGGAGTGCGGTAGGGGAAGAGGCGGTAGTAGGGTACCGACTCGTCGAACGTGACGTCCTGGGAGGACAGAACACGTCGAGAGGAGGGGTGGTAAAACTGCCACCCAGGGGCGTCGGGGGGGAACCCCAGGAAGACGCAGGGAGAAGCACGAGGGGACAGCTTGTCCGCAGACAGGTCGCGAACAAACGCCCGAGATCCCCAGACCCGGAACGCCGACGCATCGCCAACCTTCCCCGTCCACAGCAAGGCTGGGGAGGTCTCCGGTCGAGAGACTCTGGGGTGGAGGTTGATCTGGTGCGCAGCGTAACTGACCGCAAACGGCCACAGAAAATGGGGAGCAGCCGCATGCATCATGGACGTACGAGCGACGTCCATGACCATGCCAATGCGGCGCTCAGCAATCCCATTTTGCTGTGGTGAGTCCGGAAGCGTGAAGGTCTGACGGATGCCTCGCGCACGACAGTAGGCACTCAGGAGGCCAGAGGAGAACTCTCCGCCTCTGTCCGAGTGCAGACGCAAAACAGGGAAGTCAGAGCCAAAGCTCCTCCGAAGCTGGAGACGAGCTGCGCGGATCCAGTCGATCAACACCTCAGTGACCTCACCCTTGCTGCGCAAGGGGAAGACTGTGGTGTAACGCGAGTAGTCGTCAACCACCAGCAGGAAGTAGCGCTCCTGACCCTGTCCACGGACGCGGGCTGGGCCCCACACGTCCATGTGAAGCGTCTGCAACGGGGCCTCTGTCGGAGGAAACTGGGAGGAGTGAGGGGCAGCACGCTGGCGCCCCTCGACACAGGGGACACAGGTGGGGCCAGGGCCCGGAGGAAGGGGAGGGAGAGACCGGGGAAGACCAGACACAAGGACTCGCGAGGCCATGCCTCTGAGCCGAAGCAGAGAGGGGTGGCCAAGGCGGTGGTGCCAGAGGAGGGTCTCGTGAGACAGACGACGGCACGAG